CGAGCGGGCAGGAGATTCGCCCTCTCTCGCGCCGCGTGTCGCTCGCTCGCACTTCTCTGTTTTCAGGGGCAAGGTCTGTGCGGGAGGGAGTACTTGTACTCCCTCCGCCTGCCGCTGGTAGCTTCGCGTTGTGCAGTCTCGTGCAGGTAGCAGCTTGAGCCTTTTGCACTCGGATGCCCCTCCCCCCGTAGCATTCGAGTTGTCCCCAGCCTCTGCTGGGATCTGGAGGCGGCGGCGTGGAGCCAAACAAAAAAGCCGCCGTCGCCCTCGAAGCCGAGGTCGAGGGCGCCGAGCGCCTCGACGGGCCAGCAGTCGCGGCACGCGATGTCCGAGATGTGGACCTCCATCTCCGCGGCGAAGCGAGCGGCTTCTCGGGCCCGCGCCTGCAAGCCCTCCAGCACCAGGACATCGCCGTCCGACGCCGCCTGCAGGGCCGCCCCTTCCTCGGCGCGCTCGTCAGCGATCACGTTGCCGTCGCGCTCCAGGGCGGTGATCCTGCCTGCGGCCACCGCCGCCCCCGAGGCGCGGGCAGGGATGCGCTTGGCCGACACCCCCTCCACGGCGTCGCCTACTCGAGCCCAGGTGGGCATGCAAGGAGGCGGGGCCGCAGGCTCCGGCCAGGCCCCCTTATGCAGTCCACGAAGCGCTTGCAGTCGCAGTAGATCGCGTAGGAGCCCACGATGTCCTTCAGCGCCAGCACCGCCGCGTAATCCTCGCCTGCTCGCGCCGACTGGTTCGGCAGCAGCTCAGGCGAGACGGCGCCCCACGCCTGGGCCATCACCTGGCCGCTGGGCGAGATCACGATGACCGACCAGTACCTCCCGTGGATGCAGGAGCCGCCGGTGAACGCCATCGTGCCCTCTGGAACGACCACGGGGCTCTCCCAGCCAATGCGTCGCCAAGCCCACAGCGGTTGCCAGCGCGGCCCCTGCACCAGGCTGGAGGCGTCCACGAACAGGCCCTGGGCGAACAGCTCGCCGAAGAGCGGCCCCATGCTGCGCCGCGCGAGGCAAACGAAGCGCCTGTGGAACATCGTGCCCTCGTCGCACTGGCACTGCAGGCAGAGAGGGTTGATGCCCTCCTTGCGCCTAGCCAGCCGCGCCTGGGGCCAGTGCGCCAGCGAGACCAGCCAGCGAAGGCAACCCTTGTGGTGGCTAGTCCAGGCCTCGGAGCCCGCGCGACCCAGAAGCTCATTGATGGGCCTCCAGGCGGGCGGCAGCCTCCAAGGCCAGAGAGACCCAGGGCGGGCTCTAGCCTCCTCAAGAGCTGCAGGCCTGCGCGTCGCCTCGCGCGCCCGCTCCGCCAGGAAGAAGGGGGAGTAGGAGGCGACGTCGAACTCGCATCATGGCTCGTCCTGTAGGCGGGCGCCTCCTGCGGTCAGCTGCCAACCGATGCGCTGAAGGGTGGGCACCAGCGCCGCTATCCATCCCGCACCGCAGCCCAGGGCCTCTGGCAGTGCCGCAGCCGCTCCGCATTCTGCAATACCGGCGGGTCCTGCCGCCAGCCGCGCGGGGCGCACTGTAGCACGTAGCTCAGCGCCGCTCCAGGGCGCAGCCTGCCAGCGCTCTTGGCCCCCGCCACTCGCAGGGCTCGCATCCTGCCAGGGGGCACTCCTGAGGTGGCTGATCCCCAGAGGGCCTTGGCCGTCGGCCCCGCTCGAATCACGTGGGACTGCCGCAGGCTAGGGCCGAAGATGCGCGTAAGGCGGGAGGCCTGGCGCAGGGCGGCCAATTCCCGCGCCACCTGCGTCGTCACACGGCGGCGGCCTCCAGCAATGGCATCGCCCCCTAGGTCGCGGCGGCCTGACACGAAGGCGGCCGCCGGCTGAGGCCAGCGCGACTGCGCCAGCAAGTCCCTCTGCAGCCCAGCGGAGGACACCAGCACCTTCGTCTTGGCCCAGTTGATGGGGAGCCGCTTGTCCGACAGCATCTGGACGACCCCTTCCACGAACTGGGTGATCTGGCGAACCAGGACACCCCTCGAGCCTATGCCATGGCCCGCCACATCGTCGATCACGTTGACCACTCTGCCGACCTGCAGGAGTGCACGTCCACGAAGCAGCAAGTCATACAGCATGAGCCGCGCGAGGGTCGTGGCGCAAGAACATCCAGCGATCACCGAACCTGCCGCGCAGATCTCCTCGCTGACCGCGCCGTCCACGGTAGCGCGCCTCGGCCCCGCATAGGCCACGCACAAGGCCTTGACCAGGCCGACACTGAAGCCTTGCGCCTGGGCGGCGTCCCGCAGCAGTTCGTGGTCGATCCACTGGTAGAACTTGCTGGTGTCAAAGTAAACCGAGGCGCCGTCAAACCCTCGGGTTCGCGCCAGGCCGAGGTACAGGTTGTGGAGGTACGCAGCCCTGTCACAGCTGGTGTCCGAGT